CCCCCGCCGATGCCAACAGGCCCGGAGCCGAGGCAGGAGAGAGGGCTCCTGGGTGGGTGGGAAAGGTATCTTTCGCCTGCAGCCCGTGGCCCGTGGTCCGCGCACCGCCCCTCTCCCACCCAAGCCAAAGCATAACACCCGGTAATGCTGCCGCTGCTGCTGGCACCGATGCTACCTGCGTGGAAGACGCCATCCGGAGCTTGACAAAATATATGGAATATTATGTAGCTAAAAAGCGACAGCTTCCTGGCACAACCGCATGGGGCCACACTACGCCACCTAGGGGCTGCCCGGTCGATCCGCCAGGGACAAGGCCCCAAAGCACAGGAGGCGAGGCTGGCACTGCAGCATTTGACGGTCAGGGCCTCCCACATGAGCCAACGTCACACAGTCACAGTCGCACCGACACCCACACCCACACCTACACACTCACACACTCACACGCTTCACATCCACAGGCAGGAGAGGACCGGCCTCCAGTCGAGGCAGGTGTGCCCGCGACAAGGGACACACCCTCCAGGCATCCCGGCCACCCCTCACACTCAGGCCTTCCGTCCATGTGTCGGTACTTCCCCGAGCGGAGAGCCACCCGACGTGAAGGCCCTCGCAGACTAGTCACGGTGGTCGCTCGGCTTGTGGTCGAGGCCGGACGGGCACCCCCGCCTCGCCCCTCCTTCCACCCCCTACCCCCCCCCCCCCTTGGCTCCTGAGTGTCCCACGCTCAGGCCCCCAGACACGCTCCCCCCCCGCCCCCCTCCCGTCCCCCCCCAAAAACCCTCCCTCCGCGGCGGAGAGGCCCAACCAGGGCGGTTATCCCCGAGGAGGGCGGATCTGATGCCGGCAGCGCACCGCGCTGAAGAGGCCCTGTGGTGGGCGACTCATCTCCTCGTCAGGCGGACTGAGATCCGAGCACGACGGCGGTATCCGGCTCGGAGGGTCGCCTCCACCGGGCGAACGACCAGCAGGAAGACATGGATTCTTCTGGCGGAGAGGTTCCTTGGCTGCAAAGTGCCGAGCCCCTTCGGCGCGATGGCGCCTCGGGAGGCACCGGCAGGAGGCGACCATGCCAAGGAGCTAATTTTCACCGGGCCCCAGGGGATTTGTGCTTTCTCATCTTAGGCCCCGGAACGAGCTAAACGCCCGATCCTCCAGGCCCTTCGGCGGGGGTTCGGCTAGGATATGACCTGCGTGGCAAAGAGGCCAGGGCAGGCGCCAGGGTTGCGGGGATTTGAGGAGGTCCCTCGACACCAGGCTCGTTGGGAGAGAGGACCACCCCCTGGCACAATGGCGCGCAGGGACATTGCGAGGTGCTCGGCATTGTGGGTGGCATTTCCCCGGAGGCTGGAATCGCGGGGCAAGCCAGGGGCGGGGAGTGCGATTCCCGGCAAGGTACCATCTTTTCAGGCCGTCCTTTTGCATGAAATCCACCCCCCGTCCCTTAGCGCCGCCCTCTAGCATGTCCAAACGCCGGGGGCCAGCTCCCCGGCCGTGCTCCGCCTCCCCCTTCGTTCTTTCTCTCCCTCTCTCCCCCGCAGCCAGCCCCGGCCAGACCGACACCTCCGGAGTTTATTGTTGGCTGCGGGGCCGAGGACGACGAGCGGCGGCGCAGCGGGCGTGCCTGGGCCTCCTGCGTTGCTGGGGCCCCGTCGAGGGCGAATGCCAGACGGGTGATTGCCCACTGGCCTATGAGGCTTTTATCCAGGCGCTCTGAGCGACACAGCGATTCGACAGCAAGGCGACGTACTTGCACACGACGCGGGCGCGAGCACCGCGCTCCTCTCTCGGAGACTGAAAGCCAGCGTCATCAATCGGCTTCGAAAAAACCCCTCTCAGGCACCGCGCAGCCAACGCCCGAGATCAGGCGAACCATCCGAAACACGATTCAGTCCAGCACCCGGGCCCAGGGGGGAATATTTCCCGGACACTGGGATACGCTGGCGGTGTGCTTTCGCGATGAGGGATTGCCTCTCTTCTCGGTGGACATCGCCGGGCAGCCAGCGGGTAGGCTACAAAGTTGGTGGCCCTGCTTCTCTCCTCTCCGGAAGAGGCAACGCTTCGTCAGGTCCTCCGAGCGCGGCTCCAGTGGGGATGTTCTTCGGTATGATAGAATGAAGCAGGGATGCGGGCTGGCTCGCGAGTCGGGCATTATCTCCATCCTGGTGGATACGGCCAACTGAAGTCAACAGCCTGCATTGGCTCGCGTCGAGCAAGGGATCAGCTCCTACACGGATGGGAGGGGGGGAGTGGGTTAGTGGGACATAAAAAGAAAGACAGGGACTGGAAGATGGGGCAGTGGTGATAGTGGAGGCAACTTGAGTGACGGGGTGGCGGGAGGAGCGAGAGTGACGCGGGCGGGCGCGAAGGAGGCATAGGAGATGGTGACAAAATGCGGGGGGCGATCATCGTACTGAGTTGTAAGGGGGCCAGTGGCGCTTGCTGATGACTTCTAGCAGGGCCTGGCGACGGGGTCTTATATATATATGTATTTGTCCGAATCGCGGCTCCAGCACAGAGACGCGCGGCCGCGAAGGCCGCGATCAGCCTCCTCTCTTCTCGGGGACACGCCCAAGGCGGTGCCCATGCCCGGCGAGCAATCATATGCCAGTATCCGCCCTGGTGAGACACCGCCAGGGCCGAGGGACCTCCACAGGCCCCGAATGGGCATGCATCAGTGCCGGGCAGTATCCTGGGTGGCGTCTGTCCCGAGGGTGGGCCTCTCACCAACCGTTTCCCGAGGAATGCAGGCTACACGGCCCTGCTTGCCGGTTGTTTGGTGGCTTCGCCCTCATTGTTGTTCGACCTCCCCCCCCCCTCGAGAGACCCAGTGGGCCAACAGCTGCGAAGTGCATCACACGTGCCCCCGGCGGTGAGGCAAGGCGAGGTGACCTCCAGGTCGTACTACGACCCTGGGGCGCCTGGGCGCACATGCATCCAGGACGGGCGCGGTCCACATGGGCTGATCACTTCTCCGAGTGACGCCACGCAATTCACCCAGCGTGTCGGGTTCCGGAGGTGGGGGAGGAAAAATATACCGACGAACAGGAACTTCGCCCTGGAGGATCCCGGATCCAGGGGCAGGGTCTTCCAGGCAACCAGCGGGATTCCCCCAGGTGCGAGGCAGGCCAGGGATTTTGTGTGCCCCCCCCCCTTCCTCGTGTGGGCAAGCGAGGAGGCCCCGGGGGGCCTGGGGTTCGGGCAGATCCCAGCTCGGCTCAAGTGTCATGGAAGACAGGACAAACATCCGCCCGGCTGCACCGAGTGGCCCGGCGCAGTGGCTGTCACAAAAAAAGGGCGAGTAATGATGGAAAGCGCATCACCGGCTGACCTCGACAGCATTCTTCGGCATGTGCAGGCCTCGGCTTTGGGCCGAACAGGGCCGGAAAGGCCCACGCAAACAAACCGATCGCACTGAGGATGACAAGCCCCGGCGGAAGAAGGGGTACTGGGCACGGCTGCCCCCCCCCCCCCCCCGCCCCTCCGCCTGGCGGCTCCAAACTCCAACACCACGATTCCGGGCTCCGACAGTGTCCAGAGAGGGAACACCAAAGAAGGCCCGAAGATGAGGTGTGCCCGTAGACACGTCGGATGGCGCGCAAATCCAGCCCCTAATGTACAGGCCACTGTGGCCGGTCGACAAAATGCAACCGCCTTCATTTGGCCCCGGCACACCGTCTTGCCTCCGAGTGCCTTTCGTATGGGGACGCCTTCCTCCCGGTTCGACAACGGGGGGCAGCGCGCGGATGTGGCGCACGCAGACACACCGCATGATGGACACGGGCGAGGATGCAGGAGCCGAAGGAATGCCTGTGGCTGGTTCGCGGAGGCCCTGCCCAAAAAAAAGACCATCACAACACTAGATCTGCGAAGGCCCCCCTCCCCCCTCCCCCTGTCTCTCGAAGCCCAGACGAGATCTGGCCTTCTCGAGGGTGGATGATTATTTAAAAATTGACCGTTGAATGCCGCAACCACGCTCTTGGCCCAAGGGATTCCCAGTGGTGGTGGTGGTGGTGGCGGCGGGGGACACGCGGGGCATGGAGGCCAAGCCGTTCGAGTTTGGAGCCGCGGGGCGGACCACGGTGGGCGAGGGTAGCGATGGGTTGGGAAAAACGGCCAGCAGGGGGCCGGGGTAGGGCACCAAAAGCAGGGATACACCCCAAGCTAAATGCCGTCGGCCCCAAGACAGATCACGTCAAGGCTCGTACAAGGAAAATGCGTCACGGGTTATGGCGGAAGGCCGAGACCATGAAGTACGATCTGCAAAAGGCCCCGGAGGCCGCGGGAGAGGCCGAGTTAAGGAGGATCTACATAATCAGATGCGCGGGAATGAATGGTCTACGATCCTGGCCGGCGATTTGTACTGAAAACGTCGCGAGAATCGTCCCTCCCCGAAACCCTAGTCATTGTCTGGGGCACAATCCGCGTAACGGTGCCCGCGTTCGTCGGGGGCGGAGACCGAACGGAATCCCATATTCGCCCTGCGGGGAAAGCATGTTTGGGGGAGCTTTTTCCCGTCTCCTGGGCGAGAGCCTCCCACACGCGGCCCCCCTGTCTCCGGTGGCTTTCCCTTCTTGCTGCCTTGGCTCGAGGGGGGGGGGGGGGGGGGGGCGCGGTCCGCCGGGTCAATGTACCCCGGCAATCTGGGCGAGAATGCGCCCGCAGGGGTGGCCCGCTCGTGTCGGGCCTGCTTACCACAGCATGGACGCTTCGAAAGATGCTCCTGTAGGCCACACACCTGCGGGAGGCGCCGAGCATTTGTTTGGAAACGGACGGGGGGGAGGGGGCGGGCGGGCGGGCCTTGCGTCAGTTGCTCAGGGCAGGCTTTTTCTCCATGCCCAGCTGGACAAGCCGTCCATCGACCCGTGTCTGGGCCTGACCCAGTATCTTCGGCCGCTCCTGGAGCCCCCCCCTCTCGCCCGCGGGCGTGGATGGTATGCAGTCGTGGTGGCGTCCCGTGCTCTGTGGTTGCTGGATTAGGATAGAGAGAGTCCGGCTGGAGCAAGGTCCCTGCGGTTGTCCTTGCTGCTGGCCTGTGTGTCACGATGGGGAGTCAAGTTGTCCGCCCCCATGTTTCTCTCCCTCTCGCTCTCTCTCTGGCTCTCTGGCTCTCTCCCTCCCTGTCGCTCCTGGGCAGACCTGGGTCTTCGCCCGTTCCGGGGCCCGCCACCCTCCAGGATTGGTCTAGCCTGGACCTCTGCCTCTTTCTCCCTACCGCTGACAGCCGTGCCTTCGGTCAGTCATCGTCGCTGCCAGGAAAGCCAGCCGAGTCTTCATCTGACCCGGCCCTGGGGCTGGGCCGAGTCCCGAGGCGGGGCTTCTCCCGTGTGCTGACGAAAGGCCACGGCTCGAGCGATATATCGGCCCCTGTGTCCGGGGCACCATTTCGCGCCCATGTCTCATCGGGGCTGAGAAATGGTGGGGCCGGGGCCCAGGCGGACCAGGGGGGTGGGAGGCGGTGCGCGTGGATGCGTGTGCATCCGCGGCTCGAAACGCCAGAAGCCGGCCCATTCTGTTGCATGCCCCGCACACGGGTCAGCCTGTGTCGAAGTCTGCCTCCGACATCTGCCTCCCCTGGCCGTGAGAAACTCCCACCCGGGTTTGGGGTAATCCAGATGTTCAAGTACAGCTCGGCGCGGGAAACAGCCCAGTTATGCTCACGGCGAGCGTTTTTTATTTTAATTTTATTTCGGCCCTCGCCACCAGGAGGTGATCGGGTCCCCGTCCCGGAGGGGCCAGATCCACACCCGGTATTCCCCCCTGGCCCCGGACGCCTTCTCCTCCCTGGTGGGCCCCACGATCAACCATTTCCCCCTGGCAGGAGAGCTCGGGGGGACATACTCCGGAATTTTTATTCCCACACTCCGCCACCCCGAGCCCATTGTGAGCCTGGGAGCAATGTGTCCTGCTGGCAATCCCCCGTGAGGGGGTCTAGGGGTGGGAGGTGGGGGCGGAGGGGGGGCAGTGCTTGGGTTTCCTCTTCTCGCCTCCCGTCACCTCCTCCCAGGATGCTTCTGACCGTTATTCCAGAAGGCGAAACCGAAAACGTACCAGTGTCCTCATTTGTTTGCCGGAGGCACTTGCACGGGGCAAGTTGCCGGGGACCATGCCTCCGACACCTGCCTGCCCGACCGGCTGCGCCCCCCCCCCCTCCCCCGATCTGAGCCCCTGTCGAATGCGCCCAAGCATGGACATGGGCGCGGATGGGGATGGGGGGGGGGGGGGGGGCAGTGTGCGCAGAGTGGGGACAGATGCCCCCGTCCCCCTCCTGCCTCTTCCGCCCCCTCTCGGGAGGAGACTGGGAGTGTGGCTGGGACAGGAGGGGGCGGCGGAGATGCGATCCCAACAGATCCGAGGGAAAGGCCCAGGCTACCCTCGGCCCACGAAGGGATCTTCCACCGCGGCAGCTATTTAAAGAGGATTGCTCTCGTACACTGGCCCATCTGGCCAGCACAACCGCCTCTGCTCCCCTTGATTCCACCCTGCCTCGCCACGTCGCCACCTTTCCCCTCCTGTCGCCTTCCTACCGCGGTGCGCCCTCCTCCTGGTCCCGAGGGCACTTTCCGCCAAGCAGACTCGCAGATGTGCCTCCCGCCCCCCCCCCCGCTAACTCCTGGGATCCGGATCTCGGCCTTGATTCTCCTCCCCTCACCTGGCGTGCCTCCAGCCCCCTCGTCGCCTCCGAGCGGCTCGTTCCCCCTTCTCCTCGCCTCCGGCGCCTTTTCTCCCTGGTACGTTGTCCTCTTTGTCTTCAATGGTTGGTCGATCGCAAATCGTGTGTTGTGCATATCCTGCCGCCGCCCGCTCCGACCAAGGAACGCCCCTGCCTGGGAGCCCAGAGCCTACCTTTGGGAGGTGCTCGCATAAAGGCCAGTCTCTTTGGAATCTACATGTGGGATCA